GGGAGGGGGAGAGGGAGAGGGAGAGGGAGAGGGAGAGAGAGGGAGAGGGAGAGGGAGAGGGAGAGAGAGAGAGATGCTTGTTCTTTGGAGATGGTATGTTATATTCTCAAACTCGATGTCAAGACACAAGTGGAACTATATTTGCACAAGACAGCTAGAATGCTGGTTTTCTCTTCCAGTTCTGTCATTGTTTCTGTTCTATCATGTATCCCTGGCTGACCCGGAACTTGTTGTGTAGATGAGGATGTCTTCAAACTCATAGGGATCTACCTGTCTCTCTGTCTCCTGAGTGCTGAGATCAAAGGTGTGTGCCATCACACCTGACTATTTACATGTTGGCATGACATTTTGAAATAAGAAGCTTTTGTCCAGCTTCCCCGAATGCCCTAGGCGGTATCTGAGGAGACTATTCTGATTTATTTCCTGTTGGCATGGAGGGTGCCTGGGTTTAGGTTCCTGTCTTCCTTGTTCATCACTGGCAGATGGATTCCCCTAAACTGAAAAGTGGCCTACCAGTTCCCTGTTCTCTGTTCCCTTCCCATTAAATATGGGCTTTGCACTGTAGCAAAATCTAGCTTGGGAAACTCAGTCTGAGTAAAGTGTGAAAGGCATCCTGGTGCTCCAGAGGCATGGTGTGTCCTGTTCCCATACTCTCTTAGCCACTCACCATGTAAGAAATGTCCATACCCTCCAGTCCATTGGCACTACTCATTTGTATCTCTCCCTCCCTAAATGACCATCCCTGCAGAGCACTCACACCCAAGAACCCGCAACCACACCAGTTAGTGTCCAAGATTAGGATTGCATATTTTTGTCTCAATGAGGAACATCTGACCAAATATTTGGGACACAGAGGAAAGGCCGTGGGAGACGAGTTGATCATTTTTGTCTCTTGAGTAAACACGGCGTGATTCATACCAGAGGAACTTGGGGATCTCTTCCATCTTAAGTAAGTCAAGTTTCTACCGAGTTCCTCTGTTTACTTGTAACATATTCACCAGAAGAGACCCTGTTTTATTTTTTATTATCTTTTTTCCTAATAGTACTGGAAGTTGAACCTAGAGCATTATGCATGCTAGGGAAACATGGGGAAACTACCAATGACCTAGAGTGCCAGCCCTATTTTATTACTATTCATTTTTGAGCTAAAGCCTTCTGTGCTGTGCAGTGGCATGACATTCAGAAACCTCTCCATCCTCCTTAGAACAAAAGTCCTCACCCTGGGATGCCTCAGAACCACCCGGGAAGCTTCCAGTGTTGTTGATTCTCAGATCTTACCCCAGACCAACTGGAGTTTTCCAGTAAGTTCCTTGTGTATTGAAGACTGGGCCACAGCATGCAGGAAGGTCTGACCAGTTGAGTGAGTTAGGATGATTGAAAACAGAGGTTTCCACATTTGGGAGTAGAAGGAAGAAATGAGAAGCCACAAACAGGATAATGTAACAAACAAACAAACAAACCAAAGCACTTAGTGGGGAATGAGAGTATCACAAGGTGGAGAGCACAAGTTTCAAATATTAATAATGAGAAAGTGCTGAAGGCATTGAGTTAGCCTACACAACACTCAAGTGAAGTACATTGAGCTGGATTCAGTGGCACATATAGTCTGAGCGTTCTGGAGGACGAGTTTATAGCTAGCCAGGGATCCATAGTGAGACCCTGTCAGAAAGGAAGCAAAGAAGGAAGGCAGGACTGAGAGAGGGGTGACATTCATGCAATATTTCTTTATTACAGCCATGTGATGGTTAGCCTTAACTTGACACTTAAATTGTCTCCACTGGTTTGGCCTGTGAGCATGTCTGTGGGGGATTTGTCTTGACTAAGTTAATTGATGTGGGAAGACCCATCCCACTGTCGGTGGCTTCATTCCATAGGCAAGGCTCCTGTGTTCTCTTAAGAGTGGAGAAACTGGGGCTGGAGAGATGGCTCAGTGGTTTAGAGCACTGACTGCTTTTCCAGAGGTCTGAATTCAATTCCCAGCAACCACATGATGGCTCACAACCATCTGTAATGGGATCTGATGGCCTCTTCTGGTGTGTCTGAAGACAACCACAGTGTACTTACATACATAAAATAAACAATACAAAAATAAAAAAAAGGGGTGGGGGAACTGAGCAGAGCACAATTATGCAAATGAACGTGCACGCTTTCCTTTCTTTCTGCTCTTGACTGTGGGGATGATGTGACTGACTGCTTCAAGCTCCTCCTGCTGTGACTTTCCCACCGACGGCTTCTGACCTGGAAAGGTAAGGTAAAAACAAACCCTTTCTCTCCTAAGTTACTTTCTATCAGGATATTTTAACCCAGCAACAGAAAAGACACTAGGACCAGCATCCAAATTAATTTGTTAATGATGAGGACTGGGAAGTTGGACTTGATGGTGCACACCTTTAATCCCAGTTCTCAAGAGGCAGAGGCAGAGGCAGATGAATCTCTGTGATTTTTGAGGCCAGCCTGATCTACAGAGTGAGTTCTAGGACAGCCAGAGCTACACAGTGCAACACTGCCTCAATCTATCCCAACCCTGACACTTAAAAAAGCTCTCCAGTGAGTCCCTCACACAGCCTTTATTTGCGTGTTTGCCACCAATTATAAGACATGCAGGTTCTATGGCCCCAGGCTTCCCTGGCACAGTTTAGCTTGTATTCTGGCTCATCCTGCTGCCTGGTGGGCCAGAGAGATGTGAATTGACACACATACTCCTGCTTTGGCTTTCCTGTGCCATGTGGGAAAGCCCCCCTCGGGGAAACAACCATAATGAGATCAAACCTCAGATGCTTCTCAGTTCCCCATAAAGGTGAGTATCTACAGCTAACTATGCTCTCACGTAGTAATGGCTGATCCTAAGCCATTATGAATTACGCACATGTGAATTCTGGATATCAAGTAACTTGGACTAAAAAAAAACCTAAGCCACTGTAAGTTCTGGATCTTTTTATTTTGGTTTGGTTTTGGGCTTTGGAGGCAGGGTTTCTCTGTGTAGCATTGGATGTCCTGGAACTTTCTTTGTAAACCAGGCTGACCTCAAACTCAGAGATCCACCTGCCTCTGCCTCCCAAATGCTGGGATTAAAGATGTGCGACACCACCACCCAGCTATAATTATATTCTCACTCTTATGAAGTTCTGTTGCCTGGGTTTGCAGTGATCAGCAATGGGCTATGGCATCTTTGTCAGGGGAGCAGGGTAGATGTTAGTTCTTCACATTTTCCCAGGGTTCCTACCTTTTTCAGGAGGGGAGAGGCTCTCTGGCTGTGAGGTCACCTTTGGTGTCACTACTGTTGGCACTGGGCTATAGTGAGCCAGGGAGGGGTCTCCTAGAGAGAGAACAGTCACATGGCATTTATGACTGCTGAGGGCAGAATCTGGGGGCAGTTTCAGAACTAGCTACAAATAAAAATAATCAATGAATCAATGCACATTCATTTCTGGCTTTCAGGGACAAGGCTAGAAAGCACAGGAAGTGGGTATCAGTTTCCCAATGCAAATGTAAACTTTTGAGCCTTTAAACTGCTTTTCTAGTGTCGTCCACAGGTCAGTCATCAAATATTTTTGTATGGAATGATACACACAGCATCCATTTTATCAACACTAGTTTTCATAGGGAAAACAAAATATCCCTCATCAGAGTTCATTTATTTAAGGAAAATATTTAGTGCACAAGAAGCAGGGAAAGACAGTGAAGGTGGTGGTAAAATAATCATGCAGCAAAACCTTTGGATCAGATTAGGCTGACTTAAAGGTCCCATCAGCCTTTGGGTTCCAAGATCCTGATGACAGGGCTGGAGCAATGCTGTGGCACAAGTATACGGATCTGGGTTCTGATCCCCAATACACTTGTAAAACTCTGAGTGAGATGGCCCAGGTCTACAACCTTAGTGCTGTTGGCAGGGAGTGGAGGCAGGCAGCTCTGCACAGCTCACTGCTCAGCCAATCAGTAAGTGTTGGGTTCAGTGAGATACTATTGTGTGTCAGAAAATAGGATAGAGAAGGACAGCAGAGGACATCCTAAGGTAGATCCTTGGTCCTCACATACATGGGCACATACATGAATGCACACTGTCCCCCCACATATATGTGTATACAAATATAACACATACATATAGACAAGGACACACACATATTTCAAAAAGGAAAAAACAAGAGGACTCAGTGGGCAACATGTTTGCCATCAAGCCTGAAGACATGCATACAAATCCCTGGGCCCAACATGTCAGCAAAGAAACAACTCCTGCAAATTTGACCTCCCTCCCTCCCACCCCCTCCACACACAAACTGTGATGTCCCCTACCCAAATAGATTAACTAAACAAACGTAATTTTTAAAATATTCTGATTGCATCTTCTTTCTTTCCTCCTTTCCCTCTTATCCTTATTTACAGTACCTTTCTATCCGATTTCATCACCAAAAGACGTAAGGGTTTGAGGAAACCTGAGTGTTACCGTTTGGATCTGGTCTATGATCCCCAGTTCTAAAGGCTGAGTCCCTAGCCTGTAGCATTCCTTCAAAGGCTATGCAACCTTCAGGAGGTGGAGTCTAGCTGGAGGAAGAAGGTTGTCAGGGCTGGGCCTTTGAATGTCATAGCTAGGCCCAGCTTCTGCCCTGTTCTGTGCTTCTGGATGGTGTGAAAAGCTAGCTCCACCTCACATCCCCTCCACTGTAGACTTAGCCCCTTGGCTTTTCCTTCTGTGTTGTGATGAACCAAATCACAAGCCTAAAAAGGCTTTTTTCTCCCAGGCAATGAAAGACTAACTGGTATACTATGTTTCTCAAGAATGCAAAAACACCAGTTGTCCAAGTCTGGTTCCCAAAGCTACTATTTGTTTTCCGTCTTACTGGACTTTTCTTTTCAACTGGAGCTAGTACCATGGACCAATCTGTTTTCCAGACCTGGTATCAGGGCTTCCTCCTTCCTTTCTGTCTGCTAAACTCTCATTCCAAGGGTGTGTGTGAGAGGAGAAGGATGGAGAAGAGAGATGAATGCCTGGGAGGAAGCCTGGCTCTTCCAGCACTTCCCAGAAGATGGAGCTGGGCATTTTCATAGAAGTTCTGGGTGACTGTACTAGTGGCTGCTAGCCATGTACTGGATACACAGTGGATTCTTGCTTGAGCAGTACTCTCCTGGAAGACTATGGGCCACTTTTTATTTTTTCTAGGGAGTAGAATGGGGGTTAGTGTTCCTGGAAGCACACCACCAAGTGGCTTCCATCCCAAGAATGTTATCCTCCATCCAACCCTGGGTGATTTTTTTTTTTTTTTAAAGTCGATTCGATTCTCACATCCTTCATTGTTTTGTTGTTCTTAATTATCCAGGCTGGGACTGGACCTTAGAGATCCATCTGCCTTCAGAGTACTGGGATTAAAGGCATGCACTATCACCTCCTAGATTTTTTTCTATTACTGTTGTTCTTGGGCATTAATTGGACACTAGAGGTGGGTAATTGAGGGGTATTCTGTTTGTTAGGTTTACCCAGTTTCCCAGGTTCCGGTAAACAAGACCAGAGTATGTTCTCCCACAGAGTTCTGCCTTATTAGAGATCCAAAAAGCTCTCAGGGTGGTGAGTTTGAGTACACAGTCTCATCCATAGACAAACCTCCTGCTACTGTCAGGGCAAAACAAACACTGATGGTATTTACCAGGTTCCACTTAGTTCTACAAGCCTCTATTGACATCAGGCTCATTTTTCTGGGTGACCAGTCAGAGTTCCAAGGGTTTGCCCAAGGACACAAAATGGCTAAATAGCAGAGATAGGAGATGAACCAAGAATGGGTAACAGAACCCATTGCCCATGTATTCCCATAGGGGTGGGTGGGTGTGCTGCTTCATGCCCTACTGGCTTAGTTAGCTCCAGATCTCAGAAGAGATCTCTCTGGCTCCCACAGGTTGGCTGTACCCTCTGTCCAGCCTCAGTTGGAGGCAGGGGACAGTGTGGAGACTGTCTACTTACTGATGCACTTGAGGTTGGGAGTTGTCCAGTGGGCAACGTTTGTGTTCTTGTTGATCACACACTCGGTCAGGGTGGATGTGCCGGCTTTCCGCTTGAAACCAGAGTTACAGACATACCTCTCTCTGGAGTTCACGCTGTAATTCTTGACCCGGATGTCTGCATGCTCAATAGATATGGGGGTTGGACATGTGGTGCCTACAAAGCGCATGAGAGGGGAGAGAGACGAGAAGACTGGGTTTACTCATGGGTGTCCTCATGGGAGCCCAAGAAATAGCTCTGTAGCTAGGGTTGAGCGTATCCCAGGGGCTCCATAGTGTAGAAGCCAGGCACAAACACATGGATATGGTGAGAAAGCACACCCACTATCTGAAAGTCTCCTAGGAGTTTCCTTTAAATTCCATTCATTCAGTGCAGCTGAATACCTAAGAGCCATCAGCAAACCCTCTCTCTTCCCTCCATTGCCCACCCGTCTCCAAGCTCATGATATCTCCTGAAGCTATTATCTTTCCACATTTGGATCAAGCTTGTTTGAGGGATATCACATTGTTGTTTTGGATCAATGGCAAGAGTCTCCAGATTGGTGTCCTTGTATGCCACCACCAGAACCCCCATAATTGTTAGCCAGGTATACTTGACCTGACTCTTCCTTGCAGCCTGCTACTCTCACAGGGGGAAAAAAAAGCACAAGTTTATTAAGAAGCCTACATGGTTTCTTGTCAGAATCTGCCCTTCTAGATGCTTTCCTCTTTAGTTCCCCGTGATTAAAGGCCTTTGATTCTCCACAATGCTCCCTCTTCACAACCCACCACACTTTCAGCTGTCTACCTCCTGCCACCCTTCTTTGCAAACTGCTATGTTTACCTTCTAGAAAAACCTCAATTTGCTGAGCTGGTAACCTGGGCCCTAAGGTTCTGTGATCTTTCCTCTCTATATTTGGCTGACTCTACTTTGCTCAACATTGTATTCTTGATCCTAGAACGGTGCCTGGAAATACTAAATGTTCAGATACATATGGGAAGAATTAGGGTTAGGCTTGGTGTGG